AAAAATTTTTTGGATTATTTTCCAAGGTTTTTGATTTTATTTAAACTAGCCTTGATCTCAAAATATTATATAATTTATATCGCTATAGAGTGTAACAGTTTATTATCTTTACGACGAACAATTATGAATTCAATTAAGTTCAATAATATTGGGATTTCAATGCAAAGTGCATTTTTTTTGTGCTCTAGAACAATACATGTCAAGTGCATAATTCAATTCATATATTACAATAACAGATACTTGAAAAATAAAACTGTAATTTCGTTTTCGTATTACTATTAATATTATATTTGCTTTATAGACTTTAGTAAAAATGACAAGTAGTTTTTTTTTTTTTGTTATTCTTGACCTGTATCACCAATATAATTTAAAATTTCCATATTTAAAATTTGTATTTAACTATTATTTCTGGTGCATTATTTATTGATATTTTCCAGGGCATTTAAATCTGAGCAGTATTAATTTATTATGATTGTGTTTGTATTTCGATTAATCAATTTACTTTTTTTTTCTGAGGCGGGGGTAAAAATTCAGGTTTCATGTGCCTACACCGTGATGCATACATTTTTATAAATATTTAAAAAGTATAAAATATATAAAATAATAAAAAATAATAATTCCGTCTCAAATGTCTTTACTGATGACGATTTATGAGTATTTCACGGTAGGTAGGAATTCAATTGTCATTAAAAAAGATTTTTTTATCAAGTTTTTGAATACGATCTTATGTGCAATGATTTTAGGTAGATGTATCTACAGATACTTTACTTACATCTAAAACCTATTTGTAAAGTTCACAAAAAAAAAAAAAAAAACCGTGGTAAAAGGAAACGTACAGAATACACGATTATTATACCATAACAAACACAATACTTGTTAATGTCTAGTTAATCGTTCGATATAAATAATAGTAATATACAATTGAATTAGAAGTTTAAAAACTTAGTCTTATATAACTAATACGTTCACATGCAATTTTGAAATATTAAATAATTCAATAATGCTCATAGCGGAAGAAAACCTTCTTTAGACCAGTAAAGTAATAAGAGAATGGAGACGGAGGAAAAACAGAGAGTTGCCTCAGATTATGTTACGGAGATCAGTATATTTATGGATACACAAAAAAGGAATACGGCTGTGATGGGATTGGCATGGGCGTGGAGAAGCCAAAAACCATTACTAACTACTGGAACAGAACCCAATAGAATAATACACATAAAATTATAGCCCAATAATAAAGATTGAGGACAAGGTATGAAGATGTATTAAAAAAAAAAAAAAGAGTAATACTGAAGTTGAGAGCGGCTACTGTTGAAGGTGAGAAGTTAAGAAGGTAGGATACGTAAGGTTATTTCATTTATATATGTAAGCAATGATAAATAATTGCTTGACGAAAGATGATTCCGAGCGCAGTTAATACATAATTTTTGCGATTTTTCGTTTGTATTTGATTTCAAAACACTTATTAAAAAAAAAGTTTACTAAGAAAAAACGTGTCCACAGACTAGAACAAAGAATAAAAAGAAATAAACAGCATTGTAAAACCAGTAGCTCCCTCGCTACGTTCGGAATCTAAAAGGAGGTAAAACAAATTTGACGATTTTGGCTACAGCAGAGATAACTAAATCATAGCCACTCCTTCCTCCCCCCTCAAAAAAAAAGTACGTGCTCGAATTATAATAAAATGTATTATGCAATGTTCTATATTATGTATCATGCCATTATTTATTCAGTTTTTAAATTTTTTTTTTTTTTTTAAATTAATTAGGCGGTACTCTGCTCAGTTGATTAAATACCTTGCAAAATATTTAACGTTATTCTCATTTAGATTAGAAATATGTGTAATATTCGAGCAACGTTCAATATTTATATTGACTAAACACTTCATCTATTGTTTTTTTTTTCATGGCGAAACAATAATTAATGCATTATACATTGTTTAAAATAATATTATATGTTTATCTACATATTATCAATTAAATAAATGTAACGTATAATTTGGAGCCAATTACTTTCTATACCACATATAAAATGAGTAGGTAGTATGGACGGGGAACAATATTAGATAACTCACGAAAACGATCGAGGGACGTACCCAAAAAGAAACAATTTTTTTTTATTAGATCGTAAATCGTCACTATGTCGGTCGGTACACTCGATATTAATAATCCATGGGTATGTATAAAAGGAGAAACTGGTTGACTGACTGACTAATCTATACAACCACAGCGTAAACCACTGGGGTTAGAAACTTGCGATGTTTCCGGTAGATACATTTTGTACCGTAGACGTCCTATAAGGACGAATTTTTGAAAATTACATCCATGTGGTAAAATAGGACATGGGAATTTGTTTGAAAATTCACCATTTTCTTAGTAAAATTTATACAAATCAGTATTTCTTTTTTTTTGGTTAGAAATTAAGAAATACATGTTTTAGATTTTTTAGATTCTGATTGGAGCGATGATGTAGGTTTTACTATTGGTATTACAAAGATGTTAATTGTTTTCTTTTTTTTTTTTTTTACTGTGGATAATTTTTCGTCAGCAACACATTTTGCTTCGATTTGTAATGATAACGTGTACGTAAACCGTATGATATTATTCTTTCCTATTGTTTATAATAGAGAGACTATATAATTGCATTGTAACAAAAAAGTAACGCAGGTGTTTTGTCGGTTGGCTCTATTGTACTTATGGTAGTGTGGTATAGTGCAGACTAAAAAACGGAACATGCGTGATGTTGATATCTATCGTGAAACGAAGATTGAAATCATGAGTACCTCTGATTTCGACTTAATGAAACAATTAGTGGCCGATACGTTTTCGAGTCTTCTTCGTGAATTTTAACGAAAAATATATACATGTATATTTTTATTTGATTTTTTCAGAAAATATCCACTTCTCCCACTCTTAATCCTCTAGTTATGTTATTATGATAATATATACCTGTAATAGAATCGGTTTTACAGGTTCAGCCAATATTACAGGCTGTGCTGCACCTGAAATTTTCACCTGCCACATACAACTTTCTGGCATTTTGACAATTTAACCATATAGGATTACCCTACACAAATATAGTTAGTAGTGCAATACGATGGTTTTTTTGTCAGATGTAATTTCGTCGGATTGTGGTAATGGTGTTATTCCAAATGTTCAATTTCATGTTGTCTGTAGTCGTTATCGCGTGACATTACGACGAGTAATAGTTCTTATAGTCTATTAGGACATATGACATATGGTTAAATCGAAGACTGGTAAAAATATTTCATATATAACAGTTTGCTATTTGTGAAGATGATTTGTGCACAGAAATAAAATTTTGAGAAATATAGGTACCAGGTTTTTCGAGTAGTACTCAGGTCATGATTGACTACAAAATTCTAAGTAGTGGCTTTCTAACATTTTTGAAAAGTTTACAGCTAATATTGTCGCAATACCGTGAACGTCATCTTTGAAAACGTATATACTGTTGTTAAAAGTAAACTTCATACAATAATGGATCCAACAGTTAATATGTAAAAACGAAATTACAATATTGGAATCGCAGTCCACAGATATGTATAATATATTAGCATACGCATATCTGTGATTGAAACATAATAATATCAGGATACCTATAGAATTATAAAAGAATCGGAGAAATATTAAGTCCGGGAGGGAGGAGCCTGGGCTTCTAGGTTTCCCCCCTGTCCCCGAATGAAGTGTATTCAGACGCAAATTTGAAATTCGAAAACATCGAAAATTACCGTTCGGTTACGCATGTTCCGAACAAAGAACACGTAGTAATGAAATTAAAAATAACAATAATATCCATATAATACCTATATGTTGTTTAATTGATTAAGTTAATAATACGCATAGGTAAACCGTATCTATAATATTATAATTTCGTATAGCTTATAATAGATTGCCTATATAATTGTATCGTAACGATAAAGTACGCCGGTGTTTTGTCGGTGGCGTCTGTTGTACCTATGGTAGTGTGGTATAGTGCAGACGACGAATTAGGATACACAGAATACCGACCGGCAAGGTCTTATCGATGTTTTTCTGAGTCCGCCCGATTCTCACTATTTGGCATGACAGCTAGCGCGTAAGGGAATATTTGGTATAAGTTCGAGCTTTACGTATTACACGTTCGTTCGATACCCTGTATGTCATAATTCGTGGTGAAGACTAAAAAATGGAATACACGTGATGTTACAGCAAAATTGATTTTGGATTTTCAATGAAAATACACTACTGGCATGGGTGACTGTTAACAAAGATTATAATTTGCACTGGCTGTTGAAAATCTCCGAGCACCACTGCTTGTACCTAAAACTATATTAATATAACTATACATTATGTTAAACTGTTTAACGCGATTTTTATGTTTTTGAACCGTGGGTATTTGTGGTATTTTGTCTGTCCGCTACGGAAGTTATTTTTCTTATTATTTTTTTTTTTTTTTTTTTATAATAACGAAAAACGAATATATTAAAATCGGAACTTTTGCATCTATGCTATCGTCTATTTATATACAAACCAACGAATTTATAAATACTAAATACGCTGTTACAATACAAACAATTGATAGATACCTAAAACTTAACGTCAAAAGTTTTTGGATTTTGAGATTACGTCCGCGGAACGCTGGACGTATGTCAAAACTATAGTATAAAATATTTATTAAGCCGGTCGTCGCAGCGACAACCGTTCTTACAAAAATAACACGGATGTTATTGCTGGTTGAAAAACTACTATCGGAAATACCGTTGGTTAGTAAAATAAACAAACAAATCAACTGTTGCTTCGCCGGAAAAAGTTAACGAGGGCCCGGCAACCGAATAAACAACCTCAGTTTGCGTTCCGAACAAATATGTAAGAAAAAAATTAAGAATATCAAATATAAAGTTCAATATATCTAATAGCATAGTTTTTGTTTTTAGCTTTTTCATTTCCCTGCACATTCACGCGAGTCTTTGTCTTCGTATATTTTCCAATTATATGATCAACATGATGTCCACCGTGGTTTCGGTGATAGAGAGCATGCTTTTCACGGCGATTTTGACGTTACTGGTACTGTGTTGGCTATGCGAAAAAAATACGAACATTGCCGTCGGAGTATGGAACACAATCGTTCTAATAAGGTACGCGCGTGAATCCGAAAAACCGTTTTATATTGTTTTTTGTCCGTTTTAAAATGAGTAATCGGTGTCTTATATCTGGCGAGTATATGCCAATAGAAAATCGCCCCTCGTCACCGTTACTCGTCGGCGAATAAAGCCGACGACCGCGGTCCGCCTTTGCCGTCACTCGCCGGCTGTTCTCCTGTGAGTAATATACGTGAAAAATATCGTTTCCCGTGTACGCGGCTGAACTAGATTTTTATTCGGATTTTAATAGCCCGGCGTAGGTACCTACGGTTTTATTCGCTGACGAACGGTGAGTGTAAATTCGCCAAACGTTATCCGACGTTACTTGTAAATGCAGACATAGGCGATATTGTACGGATATTTTTTTTCTATGTTAACTATCTAGGCATATAATATTCATTTTTATTCGGTATCTAATGACCGATTCATCAACGCTCGACCCGAACCGCCGAGGGGTCTAGAATCTCGAAATTCAGTACGGAAGTTTATTATATTTCGTACAACGATAATATACAGGCAACTGTAAACTATATGTTATAGAAACTCCACAGGATTTTTAAAAATTCGACCATCGATGACCGGCGCACGCACATACGTTTTATTCCTTAAAACACGGAAATTGCGTTTTGTCTTTATTCTCTTTATTTCTAAATTCTATCTTTTATGCATGCGAGAAGAAAACTGTACTGTGTTCATTTTGTTACATTTTTTAATTCGAGTGTCTTAAAATAATCCACGGGCGTGAAATTTGTCACTGGCAAGACCGTTGCTTTCAAACCATACCTATGGAAGTAAAATTCTATTCGAAATTTTGATGATCCGGCGAGAAACAAACGGTTATTAATGATATTACCCCGAAAAAATATAGCGTCATTAAAATATATGTTATAAAATACAGAAATATATATTGTTTTTTGGTCTAATATCCTTCTGTGTTATACGAGAGAAAAACTCAAGTTTAATTTCTAGGATTTTTTATTTCTTCAATAAAATGAAAACTTACACATGTTTCTAAACGGAAAATTCGATCTGTATTTTCCGGAGTATTCGTTGAAAATACCTCCTCGATTTGTGTCTTTACTAATTATATTTATTATAATATATTTGGTGTGTTAGATTAAATTATTGTAATACCTATTAATTCATGAGTTTTAAATTTAATTACAGAGACGCTTGGCAAGTGATCGAGAAAGATATATACACAACGTTTAAAGATGAAGATCCGTTCGACAATGAACCTCATTTAGCGGTTTCTTCCAGTAATCAATTTGGTGATCAAACTTCGTGTTCTATGACGGTTGACCTCGTTTCACAGTCGTTCCCCATTTGCCGCTTTCCATTTTCACAGGGAGGAGAAAATACCGCCCAGGAACTCGGTAAATATACATTCTAGGATCGACTTCTGTATAAACACTCTGACAAGTACACACCTATTTCCTACTATATTATTTTTGATTTCATGTAGAAGTCGTAAGAAACATGCAAGTTGTTGATTTGACAATAAAAAGAGTAAAACCAGTCGAAAATAGTACAAACTATTTGCAGTTTATTTATTTTGATTTGAATTTGGAAAAGGGAATATTGTCAATATTTCTCGTACGTATTTAATTTTGATTTGAGTATTTATTTTTTTCATCTTATGTAGCAATTAAACTTATTTTCACTACTTTTGACCAATATTTAATATTTAATAAAATATAATGTATGTTACATTGAGACCTTATAGTATTGTAATTTAAAAGAATTAAATTGTTTTAACATTTTGCAGGAAATGTTTGAGTATGATGATTTTCATATTCTTGATCAGTTAGATTGCGGGTATTATCGTATTGACGATTCAAAATTGGAGATATTTGGGATATTCAACGAGGAATTAATTGTCCTGGAAATGAGACTGTAAGTGGTTTTCTAAGGTTTTAGTATAAATAATTACACTTATCAGTTAAATTGTATAATATGCGTTTTTTTTTTTTAAATTTTATTATAGAAACGTTTGTGAAGTGATAATAAAGGACGAGTACACCACGGGCAAGATAACACAGGATATAATGCCGCCCAAATTTTCGGTACATATGTATCAAAATAAATTTCAATGACATTTTAATTTCCCGTTTATTCGAGTATTTTATTTTTACTAACGTTACCTTACGTTTACCTTACGTTTATTTTACTATTAGAAAGGCGGATGGTCACCGCGCGGTCGCCACAAGCTCAGCTCCCCCATCGTTCAGCCATCTGTAACAGTGTACACATCCGCCGACAGTGGCGGACGGGTTTTCCCGCGCCGCGCCATCTGTCTGTCCGCAATATAGAAAATCAATGTTGTTGCGGTTAAAAATAAAACAGCATATTATTATTGTTATTCGGAATCCACGAATAGTGACAAAAATATGTTTCTTTTAAAATATTATTTCGCGCGCTTACGATGTATTTTAAATTCCATTTTCAATTTGATCAGAGTTTTACGGAACCCCGAGAAAATGACGCCATGGAAAATTATACTCCCGGGGGAAAAATCCCCGCTTTTCCATTCCCCGGATCCGGCCACTAATATACACCCGGGTTAAATATTCCTCTGCGTTTACTCGTTTCGTGTGCGATGAAATTCAATACGTTTTCGCAGTGACGCGAACTGGTCTTAATTTCTGGCAAAACAATAAAACGTTTGATTAATTGTCCACTTCCAGCAATGGTTTTTTTTTTTTATACAAACATCAAAAATTAGTCCCGGTAAATGTATATAGATTCCATTAGTTGCTAAACACTATACTGCTCGGCGTACGAGCGAACTAAAGGATGTCGGTGGATCTGATTCTCGCGATTTATCGCGACGTAAGCACCTAATCCTTTCAACATTTGTGTGCGCTATCACGCATGACGGTACCTACGCGTCTGTTCGGCTATAACATCACGTCGTAACGAAAATGAAAATTTTTTTTTTGCCTATTAAAGAAACGTTTATTTTTGAAAATAGTATTTATGGTTATGGCTAATCGGGTACTTTCAAACATTTTCGACAAATTCGTCGTTACCGCGAGTGCTACGTTAGCAAGGTCCGATTTGCGCCACTGCGTTGCCGGCGAACCCTACAAAGTAACCCTATATACATAATGTAAGGGCTGGGTAGGGTCCGAATGACCTTTTTTTTATACGGTTCATCGAATTTCGCCTAAATTTGAAGGTAATACATTATCATATGTCTTCACTTATTAAACATACAAACATAAATACGTGTAATATTATCGTCGTCCGTGATTATTTCTTAGGCGCCGGCGCACAACTCGAGACCGCGACGACAGCGATTCGCGATCCTCTAGGACCGCGGGGCCGGTTCAGGGCATTCAGGTATCGGGTATAGGTCGGTAGTCAATTAAAGAAGGAAAAAAAATCGAATGACACAATGTTAAATTATTGTTCTGTTGATAACGATTATGTATATTTTCGACGATGAGATTCAACAAATACGGTATAAGATCTGTGGAGAAGCAAAAAAAAAAAAAACATTACACACAATATTGTTATTGACGTACAGTTATACGGTGTGGGCAATATCCACACAATAATATTGTAATATCGTTATGCTAAATTAGTAGATCGACGAACAAGAAAAAAAACAAACTAATACTGAAATTTAATATAGTGTGAAATCTAAAATACTCTATACGGTTTCGTACAAATATTGGTGTTTGAAATATAGTAATCTGAGGATCTAAAGAACAGTAAAAAGAATCGTAGAAACAATATGTTTGGGGGGGGAGGTATTAGGCCTCCCTCTTGGATCCGTCTCCAGATAATATGTACACAGACGCAAAATTTGAAATTTGAAAACTTCGAAACTTACCGTTCGGTTACGAAGATTCCGAATAATGAACACAATAAATTAAATTATAAATAATAATAATATCTATGTTGTTTATTTGATTAGGTTAAAAATACTTATAGGTAAACTGTATAATATTCTACTTTCGTGTAGCTAATAATAGAGAGCCAATATTATATTTGCATTGGAACGAAAAAGTAACGCTGGTGTTTTGTCAGTTGGCTCTGTTGTACGTACGCAGTGGCGGTTTTTAGGAGGGGGAGGGGGGTTACGGAGCCGATCACCCACCCCTTCTGCACATTTTATTCTTGTCAACCGTTAGGTGTGTTCTGTACGTAAGCAACGATAAACCATTGCGTAATAAAAATAATTCTGAGTGGAGTTCAATTGATAGTGACGCTTCGTCAAAAATATACATATATATATATATATACATGTGATACTATAGTAAAATAATAAAAATAGGCATTATATATTTTCTTTAATAACACTTGGTTGATATTTTACCGATTTAACCGTTTTTCATTCGTTTTTTCCGGTTTTCCCATGTTTTTCACGGGATATCACATTTGCTGGAAAAACTTTTAGAAAAATCGAAAAATTACCTTAAGGTTCCTCCTTAGTCAGATTTTCTTCAAGAAAAAGTGCTGTTATTGTAAATTTGAGTAAAATTGCTGGTAGAAGAGTTGTTCACGGGAAAAAAGAATTCGTAATATTTTACTAATAAATTATTTCGTACATTTTCCCATTTTTCCGCAGTTTTTTTTTCGGTTTTTAAAACTATTGAAAAAATTACCGAGAAAATGGAAAAATGACCCCCTTAAAGTATCTCCTAAACAAAAGTTCAATTCAGAACAGTTGCTAAATCGTATACATCAGAGCAAGGTTTCCGGTAGAAAAGTTGTCCACAGATAAAATAGTTGTAAAACCATGGAGCTTCTTCGCTCCACTAATAATCGAAAACGAAAGTTAAGTGTAATTTATAATAAGGCCATAATCAAATTTTATCCTTTATTCGATATATGTAATTATGATATGGGGCCCAATAAATTTAAAATCGCCCACCCTCCTTGATGTTGAATAAAAACCGCCTCTGTAGCCATATGAAAGTGTGGTTCTCGTATAGTGCAGACTAAAAACCGGAATATGCGTGATGCCGATATATATCGTTACAGTATTTATTTTCAACGAAAATACACCTCTAAAAGTGGCATAAGTGACTGTTCGGAAACATTATAAAAGCACTGGGTTTCGAAAAATTTCCGAGCACCATTGCCTGTACCTAAAATTATATTAATATCTACTTAAATGTTAAACGAGATTTCTATTTACCTAACCGTAGGTATGTATGGTATATTATCTGTCTGCTACAAAGGTTTTTTTTTTAATTTTATTTTTTAATAATGAAAAACGAAGATATTAAAATCGGAACCTTCGCATCTATACTATCGTCTATTTATATAAATGCACGAATATACTTATAAATACTAAATACGCAGTTATAATACGAACAATTGATAGATACCTAAAACTTAACGTCAAAAGTATATGGGGTTTGAGATAAAGTCCACGGAAAGCAGGACGTACGTCAAAACTTCAGTGTAAAATATTTATTACGCCGGTCGTCGTAGCGTTGGCAAATGAAATACCCAAACAAATCAACTGTTGCTTCGTGGATACGGTCGCCGGAAAAGTTAACGAGGGCCCGGCAACCGAGTAAACAACCTTACTGTGCGATCCGAACAAATTGGTAAGAATAATATTAATTAAGAATATCAAATTTAAAGTCCGATAAATCTAATAGTATAGTTTTTGTTTTTGGTTTTTGTTTTTAGCTTTTTGATTTCCCTGCACATTCACGCGAGTCTTCGTCTTCGTATATTTTCCAATTATATGATCAACATGATGTCCACCGCGGTTTCGCTAGTAGAGAGCATGCTTTTCACGGCGATTTTGACGTTACTGGTACTGTGTTGGCTATGCGAAAAAAATACGAACATTGCCGTCGGAGTATGGAACACAATCGTTCTAATAAGGTACGCGCGTGAATCCGAAAAATCGTTTTATGTTGTTTTTTGTCCGTTTTAAAATAAGTAATCGGTGTCTTACATCGGGCGAATCACCTCGTCATCGCTACCCGCCGGCAAATAAAATGGACGATAGTGGTCTGCCTTTTCCGTCATTCGCGGGTTATATCCTATAAGATATGTACGTGAAAAATATCGTTTCCCGTGTTCACGACTAGCCTGGATTTTTATTCAGATTTAAATAGCTCGGCGTAGGTACCTACGATTGTATTCACCGATGAACGGTATGATATAAATTCGACTAATGTCATACAAAATTACAGCTGAATGTAGATATAGCTGATTTTGTACGGATATTTTGTATTATATTAACTATCTAAGTATAAAATATAAATTTTTAATGGTTATCTACTGACCGGTTCATGATCGATCGACGCTAACCGCCGCGGTGTCTAGAAAATTGAAATATACCACGAAAGTTTATTGTATTTCGTAAAACGATAATAATATATAAGCAACTGTATACTCTTTAGTATAGAAACTATAAAGAATTTTTAGAAATATGGCCATCGATGACCGGCGCTCGTACTTAAATTTTATTCCTTAAAATACGGTAAATTAGCGATTTAGTTTTTTTGTTTACTTTTGAATCACATTATTTATGCTTATGGGAAAACAACTGTACTACTTTCATTTTGTTTTTAATCTGAGTCTCGTAAAATAATCAGTGGGCATACGACTTGTCACTGGCAAAGCCGTTGCCTTCACACCTTACACATATAAGCAAACATCTTTGCATAGAGTTTTCTGTACAAAAAATCGCGTCTTTACTAATTATATTTATTAAAATATATTTGGTGTGTGTTGGACATTATTGTAATACCTATTAGATTTATGAGTTTTAAATTTAATTACAGAGACGCTTGGCATTTGATAGTTAAGGATGTGTACACCACGTTTAAAGATGAGGATCCGGTCGACGAAGAACCTGAATTAGTGGTTTCTTCCAGTGATCAATCTGGCGATCAAATTTCGTGCTCCATAACGGCTGACCTGGTTTCACGGTCGTTCCCCCTTTGCCACTTTCCATTTCCACAGGGAGGAGAAAATACCGCCCAGGAACTCGGTAAATATACATTAAAAAAATTCAAATATACACCTAACTCCTAATAAATTATNNNNGACTTCATGTAGAAGAAGTCATGAGAAACATGCAAGTTGTTGATTTGACAATAAAAAGAGTACAACCCATCGAAAATAGCATAAATTATTTGCAGTTTGTTTTTTTTGATTTGAATTTGGAAAAGGGAATATTATCAATATTTCTCGTACGTATTTAATTTTGATTTGAGTATTTATTTTTTTCATCTTATGTAGCAATTAAACTTATTTTCACTACTTTTGACCAATATTTAATATTTAATAAAATATAATGTATGTTACATTGAGACCTTATAGTATTGTAATTTAAAAGAATTAAATTGTTTTAACATTTCGCAGGAAATGTTTGAGTATGTTGATTTTAATATTATTGATCAGTTGGATTGCGGGTATTATCGTATTGACGATTCGGAATTGGAGATTGTTGGGATATTCAACGAGGAATTAATTGTCCTGGAAATGAGACTGTAAGTGGTTTTCTAAGGTTTTAGTATAAATAATTACACTTATCAGTTAAATTGTATAATATGCGTTTTTTTTTTTTTTTAATTTTATTATAGAAACGTTTGTGAAGTGATAATAAAGAACGAGTGCACCACGGGCAAAAATGAGGAACCGGACATCGAAGAACCCGTGTCGGTGGATTGTTCCGGTAATCAGGCTTGTCATCAAACATCGAGTTCTTTGACGGCTGACCTCATTTCACCGTCTTTTCCCCTAAACGTTTGGCCTACGGAGACAGTAGATAATGCCGCCCAAATTATCGGTACATATATATTCTGGGATAGACTTCTATATAAAAATTATGACGAATACTCACCCGCCTCCTAATAAACTATTGTTGATTTGATGTAGATCCGGATGGCGAAGAACCCGATTCAACGGCTTTTTCCGGTTATCTTGGTTGTGATCAAGCTTCAAGTTCTTCGACGGCTGACCTCGATTCACCGTCGTTCCCACTTTACGTTTGGCCTTCAGAGACAGGAGATAATGCCGCCCAAATTATCGGTACATATATATTCTGGGGTAGAATTCTGTATAAAACCATGACAAATACCTAGTTGCCTCTTAATAAATTATTGTTGATTTGATGTAGACGAATCCTGCATGGAGACAATAATTCAAGTGGTCAATTTGACAATAAAGCAGGTCCAACCCGTTGAAAAAGCTCTAAAATATTTTCAATTTATTTTATTTGATTTGAATATGGGAGAGGTAATAATACCATCGATATTCGTTTAATGTATTTATTTTTTTCATCTTGTTACAATTATTTTTATTTCCACTATTTATTTATAACCAAAATTTAATAATTTATCATAGATAAAAATAAAATATACATGTTATAATGTGATTACAGTTACGTAATTTACAAATTTAAATTATTTTAACATTTCGCAGCAAATGTATAGGCGTATATATTGCCACTTGCATGATCAGTTGGTTTGGTGGTACAATCGTAAAGGCGATTCAGAATTGGAGATTGTCGGTAAACTCTATGGAGGGTTTATTGTCCAAGGAATGAGACTGTAAGTGGTTTTTTTAGTATAAATAATGACAGTTATAAGTTAGATTCCATAATATGTGTTTACATAGCAATTTACCGGACGATTGGAAGCCGAGTGCTAGGATGGTTTTAAACCATTTGGAGAACTATGACCTTCAATATTTAAATTTCGCCCGATCAGCATTCGCACAATTAAACCAAGATATACCAAAGGAATGTTTACATCTAATCAAGGTGTGTTAAAAAAAAAATAAAAATACTGTTAATGTATTATTTTATACTTATAAAATATCTTAGAATAATTAATCGAATTAATATTCGATTCACAGATTAAACAATATGAATAGTAAATAATAATATAGTAGGCAATGGAATAGCCAATACGTTTCGCAAATTATCATTTTCTTATCAGAAAATCGCGGTATTTACAAAACTCAGATAAGAATTACTTAATGATCACTACCACCATATTATGTTTTTAAAATATGGTGGTGGGTAACACGTGCATCACACAAATATGCATATCGGGAGACTACAGTCGTTGGTTTTGGTGAATTTTTACGATATTATGTATACCAAACATACCGTATGTATATGTAGCTAACAATAAGTAATAAAATGCCAAAAATAAAATAATTTATCAATAAATAAATAACCATTTTGTGTTAGTGATACTATAGAAATCGTCCCACAAAAGATATTAATATAACCAAACGTACCTTATGTTTAATGTACCTACTTTCATTTTCAGGAAATGATGGATAAGCCACGGATAAACAACATACGAAAAAAGAAGTCTATTGTTCTGCCATCTTATGCTTATAGCTGTGAATATTTGTGAAATAATGTTTATACATTTTTTTCTTTAAATTATTGTTTGTTTAGTTGATTACTTTGATGCATTTTTTTTACATTTTATTTTATACCTTTGATACCAAAGTTCAATTTGGCCACACGTTAAACGAATATTGAAATCACGCGAACCCATATTATGTTATTTTTTTTTATTATTATTGTTTTTGTATTTGATTACCTTGTTTGTTACATTTTTTGTATACCTTTGCTCTATGTTATTATTTGATTAATTTTTCTGGTACCTTTTTATGCTTTGTTAAATATCGGAATAAAACATCTATTCGTGTGTTGGTTTTTCGAAATATTTTGATTGATATGAATACTAAAACAATACTAATAAGTAGGGTTTATGAAGCTATACAATGTAGCTGCTATATAATTTTGACGTTGACATGAAAAACTCCATTATGTGCTAAAACCTGACTTTTCCGAAAATACAATAAATCGTTTTAAAAAAGTTAAAAATTGTCAGTGATTGACCAAAATAAATTTTAAACATAAAACTATTTGTACAGAAAAAAATTTAACTGAAAGACCTAATGATTACGGATAATATTATATTGTATTCAATCAGTCAATCAGGAGATTTCAATGTTACGTAGGAGGTATTTTACAAACGATTTGGTGTAAAATATTTGTAAGAATCGGTATTAGAGAGCCTATGAAATTATTATGTAGGTTTCCTAGCTAATAAATATCTGTTTATTTTTAACACGCTTAAAAAAATACAGTTATCAGAAATTGAAAATAATCGAGTGCACCTATATCGATGGCCTACGATCTATTTTTACACTTTTTTTTTTTTTTTTAATTAAAAATATAACTAGAAACCGAAAATTGGAAGATAAGAATTAATGATTTTGGTTTAAATGTACCCATGTATGAAAATATCTACATTCAAAATTTTCCAAATAACAAATGGGTAATTTTAATATTTAAAACTTAAGATTTCTGGTTTCGATAGCAGAAAAATTATCAATAACTGAATTAAAATCAACCGTTTTTGTGATGTACTTTTGTAATCTTATCAAATATGAAAACCCGAAAAAAAACTGTTCAAAAACTGGAAAACCTATGAAATATACTAGTTAAATATTACGATTTTTTTCTGTGAATCACTTTTCTAACAACAATTTCGCTCCGATTTGCAATGATTGCACTTTTTCCAAAAGGGAATCCTACTGGGGAAGTACTTTATAGAAGTCATTTTTCGATTTTCCCAAAAGGTTTGTTAACAAGTGGGAAAAACGGGAAAATCGGTACATTAAACAAATACCGTTTAAGAAAATATATGATGTCTATTTAATTATTTTACCATAATATGACAAATATACTGTTTGAAAAGCAATACTTTTAATCAATCTGCACTTAGATTTGTTTTTCTTTAGCAATGAATAAACGTTGCGTGTACAGATATATTATATTAAAATTACCCTCTACCTTCCAAACTTCTCTCCTAAAACAGTGGCTTGCCCACGTACGAAATATGTCCATATTTTTATAATTCATCCTCAAAAAAGCTAAATAGTTAATGAAAGTCTGTATAAAAAACCGTCACAAACCAAACTGTTGGGTTTCTAAACTTGAAAATTCGCACAGAATTTCCGTTATACAATATAAATGACCGCTAAAAAAGATTTTTCAAAATTTAAAAACATGAAATGTATTTTAACGTAGAACATCTTTAAGGTAAGTTTTTTTCAGAATTCATCCTTTAGTGGGTTAACGAGTGATAAAGAAGGTAAAAAGGAGTTACAGGGGTTTTAACAAATTTTACGCATTGAGTAAACCTATGGGTAGTAGTATTATTTATTTATTTATTTATTTAAATTTTAAACGGGTCCAGCCCAATTACATAGATTATAATAATACCAGTTGTACTATATATTACCCTTCTTTTAACATCTAGGAGAAAACGTAACTACTGATCTATATATTTTGTACAGAGATAATGAGGATGGAGGGCTTGGAAATAACATAGTCTACTAATCATCGTAGAAAAACATCAAATTTCTGTGGAAACTCACCTCATCTTAAATTTTTAAAAATGTTCAAGTTCTAGGGGTTTGACTTAGAACGATTGTTTCTGTACCTTAAGGTAGGGTTAAATGAGAAGTGCTACTTATCCTCTTTCCGTATCCTATTTCAAAAATCACCTTTGGCTAGAAAAACTAAGTAAATATTACGAAAAACGATTCTATTCGACACATACGCGTAATTAGTGTTTAAACCGATAAATCCACCTAATTCTGAATTTTACCCTTTATCTAGTTATCTTGCATACCTTCCATAGAAGAGACATCATATAAGTCTATTCGAATGACGTCACAAGTAATACAAGTTTTATCATAATACTCAATACGCATTTATAGACTATGAGTTGATTAATGAAACTATCGGCTTTACTCTAAGATGTGTGAGAGTTATTTAATTTGGTCAATATATATTTTTTTTCGTATAAAAACGCTTCGATTTTTGGTGCGAGATTTTCTATCGGTGATAGTTCTTTAATCGAAACACATCATAATCTCCAACAGTTCGATCACTTCACTCTCAGAATTGTTTTTAATTTGCAATAATGTATTGTTTCTTACAGCGATATATGATAAGACCTATAATACATTAATCATTTCTATATCGCACTTTCCAGCCTTCCCCACACTCATTTTTTGCTCATTACGATAATCGGTATTTTATCACGAGATCCGAGATCATTAGAATTTTCTTATATAGGAATGCACAGTGCGCTTCCGATTAGTTTGGTTTTAAATCGCCAAACTGTAATCTAATCGAATCTCGTTTTGAAATAAACACACAAACACCTTAGCCGCCGTGATATTGTTATGCAACAACCGCGATAGAATTCCTCGGTCTTTTTTTCGTTTTTTTTTCCTCTGTCTCGTATGTACTAAACCAGCATTCCGCAGACACTCGAATGTACGAGTATTCTTCAAACGGAATGCAATCAACGATTCACGCGGCCAGCAGATATTTTTTTTTTTTTTAGTCACGTCGTTTAATTTATAATTTTCAGGAAAAAATAAATATTATTATTATGTAATCGATAGTTATTTTCCAAAAAACAAATACTTACGAGACTACATATTTATTACACTTTACACGATTGTCCGTTTGTAAAAAAAAAAAAAAAATTATATTTAGGTTTTACATCCTTAGAAACGTTATTCTAGAAGCCAAACAAACGTTTTCGAAGTTCCCGTTTTGATGGACTATGGAAATTACACCGATAACCGAAACAGTTTCGAGAGCCATTTTATAATATAAATCGCCAAATTTTTAGTTAAGCAAAAGTAGTACCTATGCACGAGAGCCAAGAAAAATTGAAAACTCAAAACGAGTTATAATAACATAACACATTTAAATACATTTGCGAAGATTGGCGATCTCAGCCTGCCTCCCTTGACTCATCCGTAGCATCCCTAAAATTATTAAAAAAAAAAAAAATAATTATGTTCTGTACTACTTCTTCAGCCGAAAATGATTTTGACGCCAAAATTAGAATATTTTTTTTATTGTACGTGTTTATGTGTGATAACGAACGAGTACACGGATATAATAATATTTGATGCGCGCAAGGTTAAAATAATAATTTATGTGACTTGATCGGAAAATCGATACGGAATAAAAACAACTATACCCATATTCGTTTGTGTATGAGCTTATGGAAATTATATATTTATATTTATTTCTAACTCACACTCTATATGCTATTATTAAAAAAAAAAAAAAATTAAATAACAATATTAAACATTAATATTTCATATACCTAATAATTGTATTGTCCAATTTTTACTGTACTTTTTTTCCATAGTTGTTCTAATTAAGTCAATCTAAATTGATTTCTAATTTTTATGAAAATCGTACAAATCGCGGCATTTTAAAACATTTTTATCCGTACTTTGATCAGAATCGTTTTTTGTTTACAATGATGTATCGTTGCGAGAAAAATTAAATTACCCTATTATACCCATATACCCATGAGCAGTATCCAGTTGTGTACGAATTGCTTTTTTCTTTAAAGCAATTTTTAGAAATTGAAAGTAATACCGTTGGTATTTTTCTTGGTTCCGTATAATTAAAAATTATAATAAATCCTCGTGTGTAACTAAAGATAATACAATAATTACTCGAAGTTTTTTCTTTAAGCTTTTTCGATATCAATCAAAATTGCAAAGAAATAAAATATGTATACTTAGAAATCGTTAACTACGTGTTACTATATTTTAGACTTTTACTCCAAGAGAATTGATAATTGACTGCGGGTCAACCATATTTTACACTGATCGATGTGAATGGATTTTTTTTCGCCGGTGACTAAACAAAGGTTAAAAAAAAAAAATAATAATAATGTTCGGTTTTTTTTTTATATATATATATACTTAGCTACCATATTTGGAGTAGAATTGTCAAAGGAAAAGTATAAAGACGGAGAAGAGACAAGGTTATGCGATTTAGGATGAATCAGTACTAGAACGTTTAAAAAGAAAGTCCACTGTATAAATCCACCGAACGGATGAATCATTAAAAACAGATATTATAAGATACTCGCCCAAAGCACCCGTGAACCTTGAATTTGATTGATTCTAGAAGTGTTATAACAATATAATATTATATTCGTATAATTTTTATGTAACGCTTGAACATGTTATACATGTTATAATTAAGTACATATTATATTATTTTAGTGAGTTTCTAAAGCGAGCAACATTAATTTCACTCTTAATAACGAAAAACAATTATAATACGAGTAGGCATATTAAGTTATCATAGTTTAAAATGGTTTTTAACAGTTTTATTAACGTGTAACCATAACGAGAGTAGAACGCTAAAAAAAAAAAAAAATCTTGGTCACTTTTTTAATTACGGCTCAATATTTTACTACTTTAACTGATTAACGATGGGTACTAAATGGATACCAAATAATATTAAATATTATATTATTTATATTATTTGATACTAGGGAGA